TGTGTTACCTACCGTGTCTTAACACCAAGAGGGCTCCAAGATACTGAGCAAGCGATCTCGCGCCAAGCGATCTCGCGCCCTCAGAGTACGAGCGCTTTTCGTCCCCGTGCCTAGCAGGTGACGGAAAGAGCGTTCACGCGGTTTTCCGTTCTTGGTACGGCGTCGGCCCAGAGGGGGGGGGTCCAGCGGGGGGGGGAAGGCCGTCTCGAAAGCGGTCCAAGAGGGCCTCCAAGACGGCCCACGAGGGCCCAAGACGGCCCAAGAGGGCCCTCCGTAGCCATTTTGGCTCAAGGTGGATCAAGAGCTCCTTCAGTCACCCAGTAACATCATCTGGCTTCGGGTCAGATCAGCTCGCTCCTGCGCTTCCTATATTCTGCCTGAGGTTCCTGGCACTACGTGATGATCCACGGCGAGGCGCACGTCTCATTCACAAGAATACCACCGCCAGCGTCCAGGGGTACCTGGTCTCCGGTGCGAGCTGCAGCAGCGCCATCAGTTCTGAGATCACCCGACTGCGTCTTCAGAGGGATCCGCGCCAGCGTGCCACGCCTGGAATTGTTGTCGGGCCGCAGCCACCTGCCCACGGCCAGAACTCTAAGCCCCGTGGCAGCCAGGGGGCAGGTAGTACACGTGTCCACGTCCAGGGCCTCCGTGCGGGCGATTGCGGACGCGCACCGCCTGACGTCAAAGTCTTCGTCAGCCTTGGGGCTCTGTGCCGCCACGGTGGCCCACGTCGGCCACGACGGCAGAGACTCCGCAGACGTGGCCCACGTCAGCTACGACATCCTTGGGCAGACGACAGCCACGACAGCCACATCAGCCACGGAAGACACGCCAGTCACGACAGCCACGACGGCCACGAGATTGCCTGGGTACCTCACGTCATCCACGACAGCCTTGGGAGCGGTGGCCTCGCGCACACACATAGCTCCAGTGCCGCTGGAGATGCTTCGTTGCACGAGCGTAGCTGCAAGCTACAAGGACCTCAACACGCACAGGAGTTCCAGGCCGAGCTTGAGCGCCAGGGCCAGGGAGCAGACGCCCAGGCCGAGATTGAGCGCCAGGGCCACGCAGACCCCACCCGCGTCCACGCGGAGGTCTGCGGACGTGAAGGTGTCTGAGGGCGGCTCAGGCCTGCAGCTGCGAGTGCACATCCTGCCCTCGGAGCTCGTCAGGTGGAAGGATCTGCAGGTCTGCGCATGCATAGATACGGCGTCCTTCGGAGAGGTGATGTTGGCCAGGCACGGCAACCAGGTGGTGGCCGCGAAGCGCTGCCTCGCTGGTGCCGACGGCTCCATGACCAAGGAGCAGATGCACAACTTCGAGCGGGAAATCAACGCCTATCGCATTCTGAAGCACCCAGGCGTAGTGGGGTACGTCGGCTGCGTGCTCGATCCCCCTAACCTTGCCGTCCTCACCGAGTACCTGCCGAAGGGAAACGTATTCAGCTTGCTCTACATGAACAGGGTCAACCTGCCAGCTGCCATCCGCCTGAAAATTTCACAGCAATTGACAGAGGTTGTCGACTTCATGCACGGCCTGGACCCCGTACTGGCCCACTTGGACTTGAAGACGTCCAACATCTTACTCGATGCCGACTGTAATGCCAAGCTGTGCGATTTCGGGAAGACGCATTCGCTCGAGCATGGCTTCTCCGTGGTGCAGGGGTCGGAGCTGCTTGGTTCCCCGCGCTACATGGCGCCCGAGCTGTTCAACGGCCCAGGAACGCGGTTCACGGAGAAGGCCGACATCTGGGGCTTGGGCTGCTGTCTGATCGAGATCCTGGGGGGGCCCATCCCGTTCGAGGACGTGCCCGAGGTGGCGCAGATCATGGATTGCCTCCGGCGCGGGCGGCCGCCCCTGGTGCCCCACTGGTTCGCCGAGGCGACGCAGCCGGCCCTCCGCCAGTGCTTCGCCTTCGAGCCCGAGCGAAGGCCGGCGGCGGCTGGGCTCGCCTTCGCCCTCGGTACGCTGACTGCTCAGGACATGGAGAGGTGCGGCATGGACAAGCGCCGCACGAGCTGACGCCCGCGCGGCGGGCTCCCGCGCGCGCGGCACCTCAACGCCTGTTGGTGCCTCGTGTGGCCCAGTGTGTGTGCTCTGAGGAGCCTCGCGGGGCGCGAGATTCTCTGTCGTGGCCATGAGCCGTCGCCGCCGCCGATCGTCACGTTCAGGCCGGGCCTGAAGGTGACTTTTTGTAGCGTTTCACCCACATCTTCTTGTACTGGCTGGGAGCATTGCGTCTAATAAGATGTATGGTGCGAGGAAGGTTTCTTCTGTGGACCACCAGTTTGCACGACTGCCAGACAGGCTGGTGAGACCCATCGCCGAACAAGAGCCTTGGAGCCAGGCGGTAAGCAATTATCTTTCACATGATGACAACAGCTCGCTACCCGCATGCGCAGCAGTAGCCATGCTCAAGATTCGCGGTAAGATAGAAGCAGAGCATCTAGAAGCCGCTGCGTTTTGCTGGGAGTGAGGCCGCCGGTTTCCCACCCGAAACGGTTCAGTGCACACAGCTTTCTCCTCTGCTGATTGTCGCTCGAGATTACCGCCCCTAAGCAGGGTCGCTATTCTCGCTGTACTTTAGTCTTAGCTCTGGCCTGGAGAACATGTCCGAGAAGCGCAGGAGGGATTGGGGGGGGAGGGGGCAGAGGTGAGGCCCGCGCGCCCGCGCGCGCGCCAGGCCCGGCCGCGGCGGCTGGGGGCCGGGGGAGCACCGAATTTATAAATGAAGCGGGCGCGCCAGGGTGCGCGGCCAAGCGCTCCCGGAGGGTCGCCCGTCACACGTCCAATTCACGCACCGGACACACGCTTCCATGATTTGCATGCCACCGGCGCCATGCTTTCGTTGCACAGGCGCTTCCATGCTTAATGCGCAGGGCCCTCCCCAGGTCGCGCAGCATTAGGCCGTTCATACTGTGCGGTTGTGTGCACGGTCGGCACGAGTCAGCTGTGATGGGTTGTCTACCGCGGCTCTGCGGGAGTCCGTGATGATGGGCTCTTTAGGCTGGCCAGCCTGAGGGGGATGGGGGGAAGCGGGGGCTAGCAACGAGAGGAGGACCGATGGTGCACCAGGGATCGGAGGCGTCTTGCCCAAGCGGCGGCATGCGTAGGGCCTCCGAACCAAGACTCTCGCACGCCGATCCTGTTAATGGTTGTCTGGGCCTACCCGATCCAGCTGGCACCCTTTTTCAGTAATTTTGCATTCCAGACGCTTCCTCGTGCGAGCAATTGGCACGCACGCAGGATGCCGCGCTTAGACGGCGCATCGGCAAGACGTGCAACAGGTGAGGAAACTAGGGGGGGGGGGAGACGGGGGGGGATATGACCCGCCGATGCGTAAGTCATAGAAGGTCTCAGCACGTTGCTGCTGCCGCGTTCCAGTGCTCGGCAGGGCCAGTTCCGGATTCTGGCCACTTCGCCAACATCGATACCCGAGCCCCCCTCTTCTACTCTTACCAGCCTGGAGCATATCCCTATCCCTTTGCTGGGCATCTCCTCATCACGATGCCAATCCTAGGGATTCCCTAATTTTTTGAGGGCGCATCCCTAAGATTGTCACCGCCTTTTGGTGTGTCCGTTCGAGGCTGGTACTATTCCTTGCTCTCCTGCACTTCTGTTGTATGGCCGTGTCGTTGCTCCGACTGGCAGGGTGACGCTTTTGCCTGGCCCTGGCGTGCACGAGGGCGATCACTCCCCCTTGTGGGGCCGCCCCCTGTTTCTTTTACGGGCGGGGCCGTCTTCAATCGCTGAGGAGCTGCAGCCCGTGAACAGTACACGTCGAGTAAGTGTGACTGTCCTCTCTATAAAAAAACGGCCCAAGAGGGGCCCAAGACGGCCCCGCGAGAGCACCAAGATGGCCCCAAGAGGCGAGGGCCCGAAGGGACGGTGTGGGGATTGGGCTGCTTGGGTGTGCGGACTGGGCTGGCCCCAAGGCGGCCCAAGAGTTCCAAAACGGTCCCAAAGAAGCCCCAGAGACGCCAAGGAACACCATGGCTCCCCACAGCGAGCGGTGAAGTAACAAGCTCTGAACACCAAGGCTCGCCAGAGCGCGGTGACGTGAAGAGCTCTGAACAGCAAGGCTCCCAAGAGCGGCAACGTACAAGTTTCTGAACACCAGGGCTCCCAACAGAGAGCGACGACGCAACAAGCTCTTCACGCCAAGGCTCCCCAGAGCGAAGGGTGCCAGGAGCCATCTCGGGCAGGTTGCTGAAGCGCTCTTTTCCGTTCCAGGGCCGGTCCAGGGTTCGGCGAGATACGAGCGATGTACGTTGAGTTGGGGCGACGCCCTCTAGGGAGGGGTCCACGGGAGGGGCGAGGCGCGCGGGGATGGGCTGTAATGGCCGCGGGGGGCCGTTCCCATAGCATTTTTTGAATGAAGCGGCTCGCGGGCGCCTTCCATGTCCCGTTTCTTCGTATTTTTCGAGTGAAGCGGCTCAAGGGCCCCAAGACATCCCAAGAGAGTTCCAAAACGGCCCACAGACGGCCCCAAGAGAGGCTCAGCTGGCTTCCAGACAGTCCAAGAGAGCCTCGAGACGGCTCCAGAGGCCCTGCAGAGGGCATTTGAGAGGGCTTCAGAAGGCCAAAACATTGATTTCCCCAGGGTGTTTGAAGGTTTTTCGGGTTCTCGCTTTTTCGGGCCCAGCAGGGCCCAACGTGGCCCACGAGGCCCCAAGGCTCGTCCCAAGACGGCCCCAGAGGCCCCCCAAAGGGGCCGACAACGGTCCAAGAGGGTCCCCAAGACGGCCCACGAGGGCCCCGAAACAGCCGCAGAGGGCCCCAAGGCGGCCCCACGAGAGCACCAAAAGAACCCCCAAGAAGTCCGGAATATGCTATGTTCATGTATTTTCGCAATTTCGGTTGCTAGTTCTTTGTGTTACGTACCAAGTCTTAGCACCAAGAGGGCTCCAAGATACTGAGCAAGCGATCTCGCGCCAAGCGATCTCGCGCCCTCATAGAGTGCGAGCGCTTTTCGTCCCCGTGCCAAGCAGGTGACGGAAAGAGCGTTCACGCGGTTTTCCGTTCTTGGTACGGCGTCGGCCCAGCGGGGGGGGGTCCAGCGGGGGAGGGGAAGGCCGTCCCGAAAACGGTCCAAGAGGGCCCCCAAGACGGCCCACGAGGGCTCCAAGACGGCCCAAGAGGTCCCCAAGACGGCCCAACGAGAGCACCAAGATGGCCCCAAGAGGCTCCCCAGAGGGCCCGAAGGGGCGGTGTGACTGAGGACTGGGCTGCTTGGGTGTGCGGATTGGGCTGGCCCCAAGGCGGCCCAAGACGTTCCAAAACGGTCCCAAAGAAGCCCCAGAGACGCCAAGGAACACCATGGCTCCCCACAGCGAGCGGTGAAGTAACAAGCTCTGAACACCAAGGCTCCCCAGAGCGCGGTGACGTGAAGAGCTCTGAACAGTAAGGCTCCCAGGAGCGAGCGGCAACGCAACAGTTTCTGAACAAAAGGGCTCCCAACAGAGAGCGACGACGCAACAAGCTCTTCACGCCAAGGCTCCCTAGAGCGAAGGGTGCCAGGAGCCGTCTCGGGCAGGTTGCTGAAGCGCTTTTTCCGTTCCAGGGCCAGTCCAGGGTTCGGCGAGGCGCGAGCGATGTATGTTGAGTTGGGGCGACGTCCTCTAGGGAGGGGTCCACGGGAGGGGCGAGGCGCGCGGGGATGGGCTGTAATGGTCACGGGGGGCCGTTCCCATAGCATTTTTGAATGAAGCGGCTCGCGGGCGCCTTCCATGTCCCGTTTCTTCGTATTTTTCGAGTGAAGCGGCTCAAGGGCCCCAAGACAGCCCAAGAGAGTTCCAAAACGGCCCACAGACGGCCCCACGAGAGGCTCAGCTGGCTTCAGACAGTCCAAGAGAGCCTCGAGACGGCTCCAGAGGCCCTGCAGAGGGCATTCGAGAGGGCTTCAGAAGGCCAAAAACATTGATTTCCCCAGGGTGTTTGAAGGTTTTTCGGGTTCTCGCTTTTTCGGGCCCAACATGGCCCACGAGGCCTCAAGGCTCGTCCCAAGACGGCCCCAGAGGCCCCCAAAAGGGGCCGACAACGGCCCACGAGGGCTCTCAAGACGGCCCACGAGGGCCCCGAAACAGCCCCAGAGGGCCCCAAGGCTGCCCCACGAGAGCCCCAAGAGGGCCCCGAGAGGCTCACAAGAGATTCCCGAGGGGGCCCGAAGAGGGGGTGTGGGGACTGGGCTGCTCGGGTGTGCGGACTGGGCTGGCCCCAAGACGGCCCCAGAGTTCCAAAACGGCCTTCAAGAGGGCATGCGTCCCTACCACTCGTCCTCATTGCACTGTTTGACTGCACTTTTGGAGAGGGGAGGAGAGAGGGGAGCGGAGGGGAGGGGAGGGATGGGGAGCAGCCCGCCCTGGCTCGGCTGTGGCCCGAGGACGCACCCTTCGACGAGATCGTCCGCTTCCTGTCCGCGGAGGGCCAGGATGTCCCCGTCGTCTCCGTCGACATCCCCTCCGGCTGGGACGTGGAGGCTACCCCTCGGGGCTCCAGAGACGGGGGGTCCAATGCAAACGGGGTCAGTCAAAGCGCCGGATCTTGCAGGATCCTACAAGGCCAGGCGCGCACTGACCCGGGTTTTGGGTGCAGAATTCTGCAGGATCCTGCAGGATCTTGCAGGATCCTGCAAGGCCCGACTGACCCGTGTTTGTATTGACCCGGGTCAGTGCGTCCCCGACCCCCTCCCTTTCCCACCGCCTTCGACATGAAGCAGAAGGGTCCTGAGGGAAGCGGGCCCTGGAACACAGTCACGCCGCTCTCGGGCTCTCGGGCTCTCGGGGCCCTCCCCTGGGCCACCGGGCCACGAGTGGACGACCCGGGCCGAGGAGCCGGTCCCGGGGGGCGCCCCGCGGCCCTGGACCCGCTTCCTGCATCCCGGCCCTCCTTCCGCCACCACCTCTTCCGCCGCCGCCCCGCCGGCCGGGCAGCTCCCGCGCCCTGGGGCCCTCGTGTGCGGTTCTCCCAAAGGGGGGGGGGTCTACCGTACCAGGAGTGGGGTGTCGGTGCTCTCGCCTGCACCGTGCCGCCCCGCGCCGCCCCGCGGGCAGGCCATGCACGAGGCGGGGTCCCGAGCCGCGCTCCCGCCTTCGAGTAGGGGATCGGCTGCAGAGTTGATTTACACCAGAATTGAAGTTCCAGTCGAATCTAAGAGCAATGCGAAGTCTATTCCGTTGACCTACCAAAATGCTGCGTATTGCTTTCGTAGGCTCGAGGAGAAGATCAAGTTTGTGGCACATCGATTCTGTAGTCGATCCCCTACTCGATTCCTCGACTGTGTCCATTATCGCCAGACCAGGGTTCGAAGCATGATCCTCACCCCGACGTCGCCACAATGTCTTGTATGCGAGGGCGAGTCGGGTATACTCGTAGGTGGGATAATGCATTGCGCCTTCGATCTCTCGTTGTGTAAGCACACGCCCCGCCCGCATCGCTACAGTAACTGCTCCTGTCCGTGTCTGTGACCGCGTCGGAGGTGGTGGATACGCTTTGTGCCCTCGACGGATCTGCCGACTCGAAGCCGCGCCGCAGTTTTTGCACCCCGCTGTCCCCGCCCAGGCGCCGTCCTCCAGGCCCTGGGACCGTCAGGTGGCCGCTCACGGAATCTGGACCTTGCCCTCCTCCATCCTCCCTCCTCCCTCCTGCCTCCTCTTGCCTCTTCCTGCTTCCTCCCTCCCTCCTCCTCCTCACTGTCCTTCCCCCCCTTCCTCCTCCTGCCCTCTTGCCTACTCCTCCTGCCTCCTCCTGCCGCCTCCTGCCTCCTCCTCCCCCCTCCCTCCCTCCTTCCTCCTTCCTCCCTCCTCCTTCCTGCCTCCTCTGGCCAGAGAACCGGCGGCCCCGCCGGGGACGCTGGCGAGCGCCGTGGGGCCGGTGGTTCAGAGCCGAGCCGCCAGAGGCCCTGGACGCCCAGAGCCTCCAGCTTCGGGCCCGGTGGCTCTCACCGCGGCGCGGGCCTTCGGGGGCGGCGGGGAGAGGGTTGAGAACGCAGGGCAAGCTCAGGGGCAACGTCAGGGGGGGAGGGGCATTGGGGGGGATGCATCGGCCCCCAATCGCCCATGGATCGACGATGGGGGCCCGATCGCCCCAACCTGCCCAGGAGCGCCATCCGAGGCCTATCGCCGAGGTATCGGCGATGTACCGCCGATTCCAGGTCGATGTGCCCCCCCCTGTGCCAGTCCCCCCATCGTTGCCCCTCACAAGCGTGGCGGGCAGAGGAGGAGGCAGGAGGCCGCCGCTGCCGTGGCTCCGGCAGCGGCGCGCTGGCCTTCGGCGGCCGAGGGGCGGCCGCGGCTCCTCTGCGTCGGCCTTCGGAGCCCCAGCCCCAACACTCACGCGTTGTCTGTCATCGTGCCGATTTTGGTTCGTACGCGTGTCGGGCGTCCAGGGAATCGGGGCCCCCCCTGTCCAGGCATTCCGGGGCGTCGAGGGGGGGAGGTTGAGGACGAGGGGTGTGCGGATCATGGTTTCGGGTGCTTTCCTTGGTTCCCGGATGTTTCCCAGCCTCGGGGTGCTTTCCTACAGTTGCGCCTCGCCGAGAGCGTTCCAGGGATGCCCAGATCGTGCAGAACGGCCGTCGGAGACTCGAGTGATGATTCGAAAACCAGGGGGCAACGTTATGGGTGGGTTAGGTTCAGGAGAGGGGTGCTTCCACCCCTACCCTATCGATCGCCGACAGGGGCCGGATAGCCCACTCTGCCCACGAACGTGCGGTCTCGCTATTGCATCGAGAGCACATCGCCGATTTATCATCGATGTATCGCCGATTCCAGGACGATGTCCCCCCCCCCTGAGCCAGTCCCCCCCATCGTTCCCCCTTAGTGTGTGGACATCATGGCCTGGGCCGTGATGTCTCCCAGATCTCATTGCCCCCTTTTCTTCCTATTATCATCCTTATTATTCGTCGTCTTCTTATTATTGGTACGATGTTCGATATTTGTAGGTTTATTATTAGTGTTAGTATTCGTAGTTCTCGTATCATTATGGTTCTTCGTATTTGTATATGTTATGTCTTCTTTCATTTCTCCGTTTTCTTATTGCTCTTCTTCTTCTTCGTCTTTTTCTCCTTCTTTTTTCTCATTGTTATTGTTCTTATTCTTCTCATGTTTCTCGTTCTTATTGTTCATCTTATGTCTCCTCTTTCTTGTTATTATTCGACTTATTATGCTTCTTATGCTTCTTACTCTTTCATTGTGAAGGTCTTACAGCCAGCGCCGCCGACCCAGAAGGACGACGACGACGATTACGACGACAACGACAATGACGAGCTGATGACCCTGCTACAGGCTCGGGACATGGGGCGGGTGGTAGAGGGAGGACGAGGAGGAGGAGGGGGACTATGCAGGACTATGCAGGACAGCATGTCATGTAGCCTGTTGCCCTGGCCAGCGCTTGCCCTTTAGGGGGCCGCTCCCGCGAAGCCGGCACGCAGGCTGACCTAAATTGAACCAAAAGGGATGGCGTGAGGCGGGGCTCTGAGAAGAAAGGAGGCGTTTCTTCGAAGGCAGTGGCCTTCTTAGAAGAGCCTGCCTGCTTCAAAGAAGCCTTCTCAGTAGCCGCCAGGCGCTTCTAGGAAGGCCCCCACCTCCGAATGCCCCCCCTGCCTTCTCAGAAGGCAGCCCCCCTCGCAGCACATTGTGGCGCCGCCATGTCGACTGCCCCGCGTCGCGGGAACTCCGATCCTCGAGCCTCGATTTTCGGCGGCGGCGGCTTGCGGCGCAGAGCGGCGACCACGGCGGCGGCGGCGGCCGCGCCGGCGGCGACGGCGCAACGCGGAGGCAGGGCCGCCGGACTCCGACGCCCTGCGCCCCGAGATGCTCGTGTCGCTCACGGCGCCCAAGCTGTGCGCGCGGCTCTTCCAGGGCAGGTTCCACTACCTAGGAGCCCCCCCGCCTTGGAGGAGGGGGCGGAGGGAGACCCAGACTCCCTCTCGCCGTGCAAAATATGACGGCGGGATTTTTCGTCCGATTGGGCTGCCCTGGGAATTTGCATTTGATTGTGAAGGACCGGTGGGTGCGGTCGCAGGTTTGCGCCATGGTTCCCCGGGGTTTTGTGGTTATGTTTCCTGGCAGGGGCATTCCCCGAGGTTTCTCCCCTGGAGGACGGGGAGGAGGGTGACCTGGACCTCCTCGCGCCTTGCACAACAGAGCGGCGGGGGAGGTTTTCTTAAATTTTCGGCCTCCGGGGGCCCCTGCCAGGCCGGCTCGGGATGAGAAGCCCGTCCCAGGGAATCGCTCCAGACCTCCAGGGGAGCACGAAGAAGCCACGACGTCGGGGGCCTGGGGGGGGGGAAGGGTCGGGGACGGCCGAAAAGGGGGACATGCAGCATATTTAGCTGGCCGAGCGAGCGCGGAGCGGAGCATGCCAGCCACAGGAACTCGTCCACAGGAACTCGGGCAGGCAGTGGCCGACTCATCCGGTGGGAAACCGTGCAGTAGGATATCCATGGAGGGCGCGCCTGACCTTCGCCAGGCCGTAGGGTGCGAGATCAACCAGGCCTTACGCATGACCGTATCGTATTGTTGGTGCGGGTGTTCATTGTATAGTCCGAGTGTGTGTTGTTTTCCACGCCCGACATGCTTATCACAGCGGCTGCTGCTGCTGCTGATGATGGTGATGGTGGTGATGATGATGATGGTGATGATGGTGATGATGCTGATGCTACTGCTGCTGCTGATGATGATGGTGATGATGCTGCTGCTGCTGATGCTGATGCTGATGCTGATGATGATGATGATGATGATGATGATGATGATGATGATGATGATGATGATGATGATGATGATGATGATGATGATGATGATTATTAGGATAATGATGGGGGAGGAGAAGGAGACTAATCGGGGCTGTCGAGGGGGTTCTCGGTGGCATCCTGGACCATCTTTTGGATGCCTCTGTGGCCCACTCTGGAGCTGGCTGAAGCCAACACTTGAGCGACGGATGAAAGCGGGGTCGTTTTCACCGACATTGGCGCGGAAGCTGCCCGCGTAAGGTCGTCCGTAAGCGCCCTCGTCTCCAACGTGGCGAGCCTCGCTGGCGGTCCGCGTAGGCCACCGCGTAATGACGATGTGCCATCTCGCGTAAGACCCGTTTCTTTTCGTCGCCCACATGAAGATTTCGGCGGCGAGCGAGGGGGGGAAATGAGAAGGAGAAGGCCTTCTCAGACGACGGCGGGGCTTCTCAGAAGGCCTTCAGCCTTCCGAGAGGTTCTGTGCTTTCGGGGAGGGCTCAGGAAACTTCTCAGAAGGCGGGGGGACTTTTTGAGCCTTTTGAGAAGGCCCGCCCCTCCTCAAATCCCCCCTTGGCTCGCCGCCGGAGATTGGGAAGTGCGCGGCGTCCGATGGATGCCGATGGCTTCTGCCTCTCGCGGGGGCCCTGCGCGGAGAGAGCCCCTTCGTAGAGTCTCTCGCTGGTGGCCCATCCCTGGGGCACGCCGGGACGCTCGCGGGCATCTCGGAGCGCCCGCCTGTGAGCCCGCGGAGCAGCCAGACTGGGCCGCAGCACCCGAGGGGGGCAGCCATGCGATCCGACCTGGCCAGCATGTGGGGTCGACCCCTTAGAGCACTGCGCAACCCCTCTCTCTCTCTCTCTCTCTCTCTTCCGCGACCTCGATCTCGAAGGATAAACATGTGAAAATGAGTACAATGATAATAATAATAATCAGCGACGTAACCGTACAGTCAACCAGCATAGTAAGGATGAGACACTTTCCAAGGTCACCCTTGCATCCTTCCCCTTCGGCCCATCCTTGGCCGCTTTCGCTGGCCGCGCCCCGCTCGCAACGTGTCGACATGGTCTCCCAAGGCCCTTGCATCCTTATCGTGCGTCCTTACTGTGCGGGTTGCCCGTACTCTTCAGGAGGTCCGCGCGGATTTTTCGGATCGGCGCCAGACCACCTGACCGTGCTTCCGGCGCAGCCCCTGGCGCGCTCCGCGCGCGCCAGGGAGCGAGGTCCGGCGCCGATTCCAGAATCCCGCGCAGACCTCCGAAGGTCTGTGCTCGTGTAGCCGTTTCCTTCTCTGGTCGCCCTCTTTTTGGTTTGGAGCGGTGTACGAACCCCATATGCGATCACTGGCAGCCTGGCCGACCAACTACGGTGGGGCCGTTCGTGAGGCTCCAGGCCCTGGAGGCTTCCTTATCCGATGAGGGCGGCGGTCCACGGGGAGGTCCGCCGTTCTCCAGACCCTGGATTCCTGATGCAATGGTTCCGTTCTCAACGCCCTCATCGCAGAAATCCGCGCGGACCTCCGAAAGCTTGCGCTTGCTCTGTTTCTCTTCCCCTTGACCTCTGCGACACGGCCTGGCCCCCTGGCACGCACGCCGCAGCGCGCGCGCGCGGTGGCGGGCATGCGAAAAGGGATCGTCGTCTTCGTCGTCGTCGTCGTCGTCGTCGTTGTCGTCGTCGTCGTCGTCGCCGCCGAGTGTGCGCTTCTTTAGTCGAGATCTGCTGTCCCTTGTCCGCAGGAGGCCGCTTCGTGCCGCCGTACATCACGGAGAAGAACCAGCTGGAGCTGCCGCGATACCCCGGTGCGGAGCAGTGCGTCCGCTTGGCTCCGTCTTGACTTGGTTGATTGCGCCTGGTGTACCGCGCCTCAAGCGCACCCCAGCTGCTTCGGCCGCGCGCCTGTAGGTGGACCGTGCCGTGGCCGCGCCCCGTGGACTGCGCGTCTGCGACCTGGCTGGTGACCGGTACAGACCGTCAGCCCATGCAGCGGGGCGCTCGCTCATCTGTTTGCTGAGGGCTTCGCTGGGGCTTCGTAGTTGCAGCCTCGCGCGTCATCAATGAAGCAGGTGGGAAAAGGTTTCTGATTTAGTGGACTGCGCCTCAGCCGTAAGCCTAGATTCAACAGGCTTGCGCCACATCCGCCGACCACTTTATTGAATCGCTTCGCTCATTCCGCCGGCCCGTGATATGGCATCGCTGGTTTTTGTCTGTGTGTTCGTTGCCCATGTTGCGCTCTTGGGGGCGGGTGTCGTTCGGACGCGTTGCGTGGGGAGTTCTGATGGTGAAGCAGTTCCCTGGGGGTCGTCTCTCGATGGGGCGAAATAGAGTCGTCGTCAAGATGCTTCTTTGGGGGGCCTCTTGGGGTCTGTTGAGAGGCCGTTCGGGGGCGCCTGGGAGACATGTTTGAAGCCTTCTGGGGCTTCTTTTGGGCCTCCTGGGAGTCTCCTGGGGCCTCTTGGCGACATCTTGGGGCCTCTTGGAGGCCTCTTGGGGCCTCTTTGGGACCTCCTGGGCGCCTTCTGGGACGGAGGGCTCCATTTTTGAGTTCTCGGTATCCCTCCTGAGTCCCTCTTGGGCCCGTCTTGGGGCCTCTTGGTCCGTCTTGGGCGGCACTTGGGCCGTCTTGAGGGCTCTCTTGGGTCGTTTCGGCGCCGTCTTGGGAGCTTCGTGGGCCGTCTTGGAGCGGTCTTGGGGGCCTCTTGGGCCGTCTTGGAGCGTCCGGAAGCCGAAAAAGCCAGAACACAAAAAACATCGAAAAAACCAATGAAAATCAACGATTTTGGCCTCTTGGGGCTCTCTTCGGAGGCCTCTTGGAAGGCTCTTGGGGCGTCTTGGAGGCCTCTTGGGCTGTCTTGGGGGCCTTTTGGGCCGTCTTGGGGTCATCTTCGGCGTCTTCGAGCGCTCTTTGGGCGTCTCGGGGGCCTCTTGGGCAGTCTTGGGGGCCTCTTGGGGCACTCTGAGCGCGCTCTGGGGAGCCTGAGAGGCCGCACCCAGAAGGAAAACCATCTCTGAGTAGACTTGGTCGGGCGGCGGTCGGGCGGCGGTCGGGCGGCGACCGGGCGTTGGTCGGGGTACTTTTCGCCGGGGGACCCCCAGGGGCCGCCCCGCGCGCGCGAACTAGAAATACTGTTAATACTGTTAACCAGTTACCGGAGATCTTAGCACGCCCTGGCCCGTTGGGCCGGCGAATTGTAGTTCGTTCCCCATGGTCTTTCTGGTACGTCCAGGGAGCGTCGCGCTTGCCTCCTGGGTGCGCCTTGGGGCTTCCATGGGCCGTCATCGGAAGGTATTCATCAGGCTTCCTCGAGCTTCGTGGAGGCCTTTCGACTGCCGCCTGTCGCCGTCGCGCCTTCGTCCTCGTCGTCCTCGTCGTCGTCGTCGTCGTCGTCGTCGTCGTCGTCCTCCTGGGGGTCAAGGTTGAGCCTCGGGGACGACGACGACGACGACGGCGTCGGCGACGGCGACGCACCGAAGCATGGTTCGTGGTCGGACGGCTGGGCGTTGAACTATTGGGTTCCGAGCACCTTGCAGGGTGCTCGTTGAACCCACTGGTTGCGTCGATGCGTCTCGGGGGTGCCCCTTGACTGAACTGGCGAGTCAGAGGACCCGAACGGGTACTCGTTGAACCGCGGGTTCCGGGGAACCGGCCACGTCCCACTAGGCGTCCAAGGCGGCCCAAAAACGTGCCCAGGGGCAGTACAATTGGCCATGCAAAATCTTCAAAACGGTTTCATGGTGGCCCAGGACGTCGTCAAGGAAATCTGGAAGTCTATTTGGCTGTCTTGGAAATCTGTTTGGCCGACTTTAGGCTCTTTTAGGGTCGTCTTCGGGGCTTCTCGGGCTCTCTCACGGCCCTCTTGGGCCGTCTTAGGGCCGTCTTGGAGGCCTCCTGGGCGCTCTCGGAGCCATCTTGAGGGCCTGTTCGGCCGTCTTGGGCTGTCCGACAGCCCCAAACGAGCCCCCCCCCGCCACCTTCAAAACCTATGGAACATCTATGATGTTGGCTTCTTCGGGCTTCCCTTGATGTCATCTTAGGGCCTCTTTGGCCGTATTTGAGGTCTCTTGGGCCGCCTTGGAGACTCTTGAAGTAGTCTTGTGCCGCCTTGGAGACATCTTGGGGACATCTTGGGCTGCTCTGGGGCCATATCGGTCGTCTCGGAGGCATCTAGGAAGTCATCTTAGGCGATCTTGGCCGTCATGGCGGCCATATGGGGCCGTCTTGGCCCCGTCTTTGGGCCATCTTGGATGCCTTCTCGGCCTTCCTGGGGCCATCTCGGTGACCTCACTCTTGGGCGCTCTTGGGGCGATCTTGAAGGTCTCTCGGGCCGTCTTGCGTCGTCGACAAGTTCCCAAGTAGTCAAACCCTCAAATCCTTCAACAATCAAGTTTGACTCAAACCAGCTGGGCTCGATGTCCAAGCTGAATGGATTTTTGATGTCCAATCCCAGTCGACAGCATACCACACGCCTTGATACCTTATTGCAGCCGATACCGGGCAACATTGCTTGCGCTTCTGTGAACGCCGCGGTGTGTCGAGACGCGTCCTCCATGACAAGGGCAACTGCACCTGGTGATGTACCCACGCAAGTCGATTGCATCGACTTGTCGTGCTTGCCTTCCATGGTATCGGTCAAGGTGTGCTCTTGTGAGGCATAGGCCACGTTGGATCCAACAGGCCATGTGAACAAGTATACAAACATGAGCAAACGGTTGCTCAAGTTTACTCTTGTGAACTCCGCATCCCATGTAGCATAATTGCGCTGGTAGGGGACCATTCGTCGCACCTGGCCTGCCCTGTGTAGTTTCGCACTCCAGGTAATCAGTGCGCTCTGAGGGCGAGAGTAGTGTCCGCCCTGAACAATTTACCACTTCCCTAGGTAACGTTTGTCTGCGCCAGACTTCGACCGCCCCAGTCGTCTTTTCCGCGGGCTGGCGGCCCCTGTCCTTTTCATTCCATGCGTTTGTAAATTCGGTGGCCCATCAGCACGCGTCGCGCTTTTAAAAGGTCTTTCAAGGGGATGCCGCGCAGCGCGCGCCGTGAGTTGGGGGAAATGGGATTCTGGGCGAACGTTGCGCGACGTCGCAAACACGCTGTCGTGCGCAAGCAGGACGTGCCAGATCTACAGCCCGCTCTTTTCCATTATGGTCGGCAGGTCTTACTCCCGCGCGCGACCTCGGAATTCAGGGCGATGCTGAGGAGCTCGTCGACCTGCCCGCGGACGGCAAAGGTTCGTGGCTCTTGCGGGCAGTTCGTCTGTGCTCCCACCCGGCCAAACATGCGCGGCGCGCTCGCCACTGGGGGGGTGGCGGCCGCGACTCTTCCTGCTGCAATTCGACAGTGCTGATGACCGGGGCGCAGGGGCAGCGTGGTGCATTTCGCGCTCTGTCCAGCAGTGCGCCGCCCGTTTCAAACGAGGGCGACGTTGGCTGACGCTCTGGATCTCTTCCGCGGGCTCGCGGGATCGGAGGGGGGCGCGGCCGCGCGCGTGGGCCACTTGCGCTTGTGCAGGGTCCGCGACGCGCGCCGCGCAGGATCTCCGCCCTTGGCCAGCGCGGACGGAGCCTCTCGCGTGGCCCTCCGGGGGGCGGCGCGATCCCCTCTCGCGCCCCTGCCTTGGCGCGGGCGGTCCGTGGCGGCGCGTGGGGGTTGGGTTTCCCCCGCCCCCCTCCTCCGTCTCCTCCGGCGGACAGACGCGATCGAGGAGGGCGAGGAAGGGGCGGTCGGGGGCGACGGCGAGGGGCGACGCCGCGCGCGGGGCGGGGGCGGGGGGGGCGCGGGTCGGGGGGGCGGGAAGCGAAAGCATTGTACAATGCTTTCGCTTCCCGCTGGGATGGGGGTGCGATGATTGCGGCCATGCGCAGGGTGGCGCGGCCGCGCAGAGGGCGCAGGCGGCGGCCGCAGTCTCGAAGGCCAGAGAAGGAGGTCGCCCCGTACGCGACGGCGGGAAATGCCGCAACGGCGCCCAGCGTGCGCCTGTAGAAGAACGGGCTAGCGGATGGCATTGGCATCGTGGAGGAGGTGGCCCGTCGGGATCCGGCGCGGGAGTCCTCGGCCCCCGCGAGGGGGCAGAAGAAAGGAGTGAGACATGCCGACGGGGGGCCTCTCCTGCGGGTGCCGCGCGGCGGCCCGGGGGCGGGGGGCTGCGTCGCGGGCGAGATTCGGAAGGAAGTGCTCGAGATGGAGAAGGGGTGTGGGGGGCGCGCGGCGATGACTTCCAGGTCGCCGCTTGGCGGGCCGCGAGCGCATCGGCCATTGCCGGGGGCGCGATGCGCCGCGCGCTCGTCGCGGGGGCGAACGCCGGGGCCGCGGGGCGCCGGTGGGCGGCTGGGGGGGCGAAGAGTCGATGGAGAAGAAGGTCGTGCAGGAGAGAGCCGCGCAGCGGATGTCGCATTGGAAGTGGCCTATTGTCGACGAGGTGAGCACGGCGAGCGCGAACTTCCAGTCGGGCTCGAGTCGCATCTGCGCTCGTGCATGTTAGCAGGGAGCGACGCGAAGACGGGGGGCGGCAGCGTGGACAGGCCGTTCGGGGGAGCCAGCGCGCTGTTCAGCGGAGATTTATTCTCTTGCACAGGGTGTCTAGAGCTCCGACCACTTTATTTTGGCACCGCCCCCCCCCCCCTTCATCATCATCATCATCATCATCATCATCATCATCATCATCATCATCATCATCATCATCATCATCATCATCATCACCATCATCACCATCACAATCACCCCATCATCATCACCATCATCAATCATCATCATCCGCCCCCTCCCCCGCGCCCGTCTCAGCGCCCTCCCGCGGCTCCAGCGCCCGCCCAGTGCCCCCTCCGCCCCGACCACTTTATTTCGGCACCGCACCCCCCCCCCGCTCCGCCCCCTCCCCCGCGCCGTCTCAGCGCCCCCCCGCGGCTCCAGCGCCCGCCCAGTGCCCCCTCCGCCTCGACCACTTTATTTCGGCACCGCACCCCCCCCCGCTCCGCCCCCTCCCCCGCGCCGTCTCAGCGCCCCCCCGCGGCTCCAGCGCCCGCCCAGTGCCTCCTCCGCCCCGACCACTTCATTTCGGCACCGCACCCCCCCTCCCCGCTCCGCCCCCTCCCCCGCGCCGTCTCAGCGCCCCCGCGCGGCTCCAGCGCCCGCCCAGTGCCCCCTCCGCCCCGACCACTTTATTTCGGCACCGCACCCCCTCCCCGCTCCGCCCCCTCCCCCGCGCCGTCTCAGCGCCCCCGCGCGGCTCCAGCGCCCGCCCCGCCCCTCCGCCCCGACCACTTTATTTCGGCACCGCACCCCCCCCCCCGCTCCGCTTCCTCCCCCCGCCGTCTCAGCGCCCCCCGCGCGGCTCGCCCGCCCAGCGCCCCCTCCGCCCTTTATTTCGCACCGCCTGTCTCAGCCGCCCCCCCGGCTCCAGCCCCGCCCGGCGCCCCCTCCGCCCCGACCGCTTTATTTCGGCGCCGCAACCCCCCCCCCGCTCCGCCCCCTCCCCCGCGCGTCTCAGCGCCCCCCGCGGCTCCAGCGCCCGCCCGGCGCCCCCTCCGCCCCGACCACTTTATTTCGGCACCGCACCCCCCCCCTCCGCCACTCCAGATTCTGATGTAAATCCTGAACTGGAAATATTAAGTTCTTTAAGCGAAAGCTATATGAACTAATGGCAATAAAGATGACAATCTTTTACTGCTTTGACTTGAGCCTTGAGCCAGTACGTTACAGTACGGTACTGCTTCTAGCGTATGAGACAACATGCCTAACAGGTCCTAGACATAATAATCTCAACTCTGGTCCTATTTTCTTTAGGACATGTTGGATCTTATAAAAATTAAAACCCAGTCGATTTTACTGGAGTCCGGCAGCGGCCCTAGGAAGGAGTGAGAGAGAGGAGAAGAGTAGGACAGCAGTCCTAAGTAAGCCATAGCAGGCTTATCATATCCACCACGGCCACCAAATATAAATCCATTGAAATACATCTGATGATAATCCATCACGAAGTGGTAGCCGATAAAGGTGAACATAAAATACTAGCTCCACAATTGAAGTCGAATAATGATATACATGTGAAGCTGCCCATATAACATCTCACATCTAACCAAACTCCAGATCATACTCCAGATTCTGATGTAAATCCTGAACTGGAAATATTAAGTTCTCGTCGTGTCGGACTTGGTACTGTCTAGTCCAAATCCTTGCCTGACTCGCAGTGTGCCTGCGATCGTCCAACAACCGGTGGTGATCAGCTCCAGAAGTGACTTGGAGTCTGCTCCCACAAACTTTGTCAACATATCTGAAACCATCCACTTGGTACGTACATGATAAAGTCGTCGTAGTCTCAGGGTTCGTCGCTCTTCCCGAAGCGACAGAATACCCAAACGCTGTGACTTGTCCTGTGGTGTTCCTCGAAGTCCGCAACATAACTCCCACAAGTCCATACAATCAATGAAAGCGTCCACTGGTAAACTCAACTGCCCTCGGTCGAGTCGTTCTTGAAGCTGTAGTGGCTTCTGAGGTCCGCATAAAATGTTAATCTCCGGTTCTGTGAGCCTCATGCCGATAATCTGTGCCATGGGAACTCCTCGTGCTGCTGCCAACGTTTCCGCGTGGGACGTGCTGTGTGAAACTCTCTTAGACTTGGTCGAAGTGACCACTAGTGCGTGTAACTTGCCACTGAGCCGATTGATCAGATTGTCCTGCAGATAATCTTGTCGATCACATAGAGGAAAATGTAGTCGGTCTTCTTGAAGACCTATCGTGACTCCTTCTGTGGCGAAATTGCTGTTCTTGTTGGCTGAAGAGGCGTCCGTAATACAAGAGATCCGTAGTGGTGCCTTGAGCTTCCTGTAGTAGATGCCAAACTTCTCGGGATTTTTCTTGAGTCTCTTGATCGCTGCGTTGATCGCCAGGAGGTCCTTGATGGTCGGACTCTGTAGCTTGGTCTGTAGAGAAACAACGTTGAATAGTTCCTCCAGTCGTGTCTGGCAGGCCCAGAGTGCTCCACAAGTAAGAGATCTGAACGTCTTGTGTTCTGCTGCCGTGCAGGGTGCATCTGGTACATCAACTCGTTCTTTTGGTATAACACATGGCGAAAGACATGATGTAAACTGATCTTGATGAATGCGTATACACGTCGGTACAATTCGTTCGAGCTGTAGGCCAGCATGTGTATATGGCATCGTCTGCCTCTTGAGCTTGCCGAATCTGGATTCCAACTTTTTGTGTATCCAATCGCGATAGAATCTGCTGCCAGTAATCTGTAAGTCGTCCACATGAACAGTCATGACTAAAACGATCACCTTGTTGCCCTTGTAATCGATGCCCCAGTAAAGATAGTTGTCGTCGAAAACCGATGATTTAGCTCCTGTCTTATCTTTAAGAAACTCCAACAAGGCCAACTGAAACATCAATGGTGCGTCTGTGAAACCATACATTGCTCTCAAGCATTTGAGGGCATATCTGTGTCGATCCTTATCTGCAACTTTCCAACTGGAAGATGCCTCCGGCATGCGTCGAAAGTGACTCCACACATTCTCCGGAGGAAGGATGTAGACTGTCCGGTCTTCGCGATACTCATAGCCGAGATTCCTTGCTTTCTCGCGTAGGTTGTCGTATCCAAGTCCTTGTAGAAAGGCCGTTGAAATATCCAGGCTCTCGGTGTCGACGTCGCCGTCATTCTCGTCGTTCACATGTAGAATACCTTCACAACATCCTAAACTCAAAACCAAACGCTGCGACAATCTTGTCGCTGTCGAGCTGTGCTTCTCAATGAAGTTCTTCTGTCGGTCGAAACAGCCTCGAGCGCATAGTCGTGATTTGACTTCAACGTGTTTGACCTTCCATTTCCTCACCCATGTACAATCAACTATGTTCGCCTTATCGGGTAGGTGGTCTCGAAGTACAGGTTCGAAAATATCATGAGTAACAAAAGCCTTCAACTCCTTATGATCTCCTGCAATAACCAACTTCGCAAAACGTCTCATCTCGTCATCTGTGAGGTTCGCCGTCGAATCATCAACTCGAAAAACCATTGATTCATGCAAATCGTAATGGTAGTATAGATATCGGTCCGAGTCGGAGTAAAGTGTCGGAGATACAAAATCAAAATCATCTGAAAGGTTGCTGATCATCTCGTCATAAATTGCTTCCATACTTTGCTTGTAAGTTCCGTCGGGTAGTCGTTCGCATAGATTGACAATCTTGGGGATGTCAAGGTGGTCAATCGTCTCCTGGTATAAGGCTCTGGTATCTCCATCTGGGTCGTCGCTGTATTCCAAAGTTCTGTCAGTAGAAGTCGAGGGTTG